AGAAATGCCATATATATCGTACGTGTGAAAAAAGAACCATACTATAAATTGAAAAAACAAGTCACTTCGAAGGTTTGGGAGTTAAGTAAGCATTCCTTGAGTTACGACAATAAGACATGGTATATAATTAATCGGTGTAATGAAAGTAGGTTTAATAATTGTACGGGCGTGCCAAAGAGATAAACACTAAACAAAGATTTAGCTTTAGATTTAAATGTGGTGGTTGCGAGGCTCCAGTTTGGCCCGTCGACACTTTGGCTCTACTGCATTATGTTACCGCACGTGTTCCATTATTTCTACTCTTTCATTATTTGCCTTCAGTTTTATAATTTTCTTGTACGTAGACAACCTGGATATGTTGCATTATTAGAAAATTTACAAAGTTATTGTATAGTATATAGTAAATATCTTAAAGAGGTCTAGCATTTTTGTTTTTGGTTTATATTATATATGTCTCTCCTTTGCTTTGTCTTACACATATACAATTTCTACTGAGCAGAGAGGAAAATACAACTTTCATTGAAAGCCATATCTGATAATCAAGATACCATAAAGGAGGCTGATGGAAGTAACCAAACCAGGGTCTAGCATTCTTTGCTAGTACGTTTGCCATTTGATTAGCATTCCTATAGGAACATAAATGAAATTAAATTTGCATAATCTCGCATTAGAGTGTTCTCGATGATAGTTAAAACTCATAAGTAGTTGCCAAGAACTTTGATTTTGAACGATTGCACGATTCTGAAGCAGACCAAAGATAGTTTAGTTAGGAGTCCCGCAAACAGTAACTGCATATGATGTCTTAATAACTTCATACGTAAGACTAATAACAATGCTTTCAAAGGGTTTAGGGTTGGATCAGATAATGAGGACCCTTTGTTAACACTTATCGACGATCGGAAACTTATCGACGGTGGAGCCCTTGAGTTTTCTTAGATTAGCCTACTCTAATTAAGTCCTAATTACTTATGGTCGTGCCTAGATATATATATATATATATATATATATATATATATATATATATATTTAGTCATGGGATTTGTATCCCATTCCCATTACAGAAAATAAAAATTCTAGATTATATTACGTGTGCATATATATCTTCCGCAACCTTTTTCTATTAGAGACAGTCGTCGATGGCCATAATAGGGGGAAATAATTGGCTATTTAAAATAAAATTATGCATTAAAGCAAAGAAGAAAAAAACACTACAAGAGACAAATTAATAAACAAATTTGGAGGCAACGATAACGAGAGAACAATATTATAAGTAGAGAAAGAGGAGACAGAAGGCAAAATTCAGACCCACTCGTCTCTCTTTCTCTCTCACTCACACTGAAATGGAGACATCACCGTCGTCCCCACATTCACCGCCGGAGATTCTCGACCTCGATTCAATCAGAGCTCTCAAAATTCTCGGTAAAGGCGCCACAGGAACCGTCTTCCTCGCACACGACGTCGTTTCAGTCTCTTCTTCTTCTTCTTCTTCTTCTTTCTTTGCCGTCAAGCTCGTCCACAAATCATCCTCCTCCTCTCTCCGCCGTGCACGGTGGGAAATCGAGGTTCTCCGCCGTCTCTCCGTTGACTCGAATCAAAACCCTTTCCTCCCTCGTCTCTTATCTTCCTTCGAGTCACCGGAATTCTTCGCATGGGCCGTCCCTTACTGCTCCGGCGGCGATCTCAACGTCCTCCTTCGCCGTCAAAACGACGGCGTGTTTAGCTCCTCCGTTATTAGATTCTACGTGGCTGAGATTGTCTGTGCGCTTGAGCACCTTCATTCCATGGGGATCGCTTACAGAGACTTGAAACCCGAGAACATCCTGATTCAACATTCGGGTCACGTTACACTCACCGATTTCGACCTTTCCCGGCGACTCCAAAAACCCACACCTCCCCAATTTTATCGACCCGACTCTGAATTAAGCACCCATCGTAAAAAAAGTCGGAGCTTTTCTCGTTGGATCTCGCCGGCGGCGGCAGAGAGCAACAGAGCAGGGTTGAAGAAAACGAGATCCGCTCGGGTTAACCCGATTAATCGCCGGAAAACGAGCTTTTCCTCTGGCGAGCGTTCCAACTCCTTTGTCGGGACCGATGAGTACGTCTCGCCGGAGGTAATTCGCGGCGACGGTCACGACTTCGCCGTCGATTGGTGGGCGCTCGGTGTTTTGACGTACGAGATGATGTACGGAGACACGCCGTTCAAAGGGAAGAGCAAGAAGGAGACTTTTCGAAATGTGCTGGTCAAAGAACCCGAGTTCGCCGGAAAACCCAACGATCTCACGGGTCTGATCCGGCGGTTGCTGGTGAAAGATCCGAGTAGGCGGTTAGGTAGCCACCGTGGCGCGGCAGAGATAAAGGAGCACCCTTTTTTCGCGGGTGTGAGGTGGGATTTATTAACGGAAGTGTTACGACCTCCGTTTATTCCGTTAAGAGATGACGGGGAGTTGACGGTTGGTGGGTTTGATATAAAGGAACATTTGGAGAATCTGAGGGTGACGCCGTCATCAGCTCCTCCGTCACCGTTACTGTCTCCGCCGCACGTGTGTCATAAAAAGGATCCGTTTATTGATTTCTGATCCACGTGTGCGGAATCTATAACACGTACAATAGTGTAGATACATTTTTCTTCTTCTTTTGTTGTGTAAATTTCAGTTTTTCTGATTTTCATTTGTATAAAAATCATTGTTATAACAGCTAATGTATTTCCACTGACGAGAGAGATTTCAAAATAATGATAAATCCTTTGGTATAGAAGACTTCACTAGCACAATTTGAAGAGAACATTTGGAAAACTAACAAAATTTTAAATAAAATAGTCTTTTTTAAAAGTGACAATTAGTGGAATCATTAGTTTACACTTTCAGAATGTCGAGGAAAAAGATGGAGTACTGGGGGGGGGGGGGGGGAGATAGGATATGTAATTGGGTTGAAAATGACGACGTAGAAATATAAAAATAAGTAAAGAATAATATATTTGAGAAACCACATTTTTTTTTCTTTCTTTGTTTCACATTCGTTGATGGGACTCAAAATGTATAGGTCTAATTTATACTCCTGATCGATGTCACAATAAGTAATAGGCTATAACAAAGTTCTAGTACTTCGGTAAAGCGATTAAAGGTAAGATACTGAAGTTAAGACTTAAGACTCCAAGTAAGAAATAGCCGTTTACTATTTTATCGTTAGTCAAATTTAATCTAGAGTAAATTTCGAAAAATATCTTAAAATCAGATTTTATTTTCAAAAAAAAATATACTGTTTTTGAAAAAAAACGAGAACTACACTTCTTTCTATATATCAAATGACTAAACTGTCCTAATTAATAGGATAATCACACTCTTTTAATTAGAAAAAGTAATAGAAAAAAGAGATAAAAGTAGTTCCTCTATATTTTTATATATATATATACGAACCTCCTCGCCGAAACAACCCTAAATTTCTCTGATCCATCTACGAAAATGGAGATTAGTATTCGCTTTAATGAATACGACAGGGCCATTACAATTAACGTTCCGGTTGGTGTTCGGTTCAAAATTAACGTTAACCCTGTTGGCGGGATCATACCACCATCTCGTGGCGGATTAAACGTTAATGGAGCCAATGTTCATCCTCCGGCTGGTGGCGTTAAGGAGGAATATGAACCCGTCCTCGCAGAAACCCCTAATTTCTCTGATCTATATTTGCAAATGGCTAACCCTATGGTTTTCTTTGATATGACCGTGGACGGCAAACCGGCTGGCCGGATCGTGATGGAGCTCTTCGCCGACATTACACCGCGGACGGCGGAGAACTTCCGGGCCCTCTGTACCGGCGAGAAAGGCATGGGGAAGTTTGGTAAGCCACTCCACTACAAGGGATCGATCATTCACTCAGTGGATATCAATTATACGTTGGATGGAGGAGATATCATTACGGGGGAGGGAAATGGAGGCGAATCGATCTACGGCAATAGATATTTTGAGGATGAGAACTTCATCATAAAGCACACGGGTCCAGGAATCCTTACCATGTGGAACGTTGGTCCGAACACTAACGGATCTCAGTTCATGATCTGCATGAGGGAGATCAGCGAGTACGACGATGAATGCGTCGCGTTTGGCCAAGTGGTTGAAGGATTGGATATGATCAGGAGCATTATGGAAGAGGTCGGAGATAATAACAGCCACTACAGGCCTTCCAAGCCCGTGGTGATCGCCGACTGTGGTCAGATTTCATAGATTTTTATTGCATAAGTCGTTTTTTGATGTTTCTGTTCGTAAGTTTGTTGTTTCTTTCAGTTTAGATTTGAGAGACTTCGTTTTGATGTTTTGGTCAGATGCGGGTTTTGTTCCTCGTTTGGTATTTCTTTCGAGGTTATAGATTGATCACATCTTAAGTTTAGGTCGATATTATTGGCTCATGAACCAAATATAATGAATCATCGAACTATGTTTTTTACAACATAGTTTGTAATGGTTTCTAATCTAAACATCCCGCGACGACTAAAAAAACTAAAAATTTATATGGATTCTCTGCCTAATGTAGTTTGTAATGTGACAATACCATCTAAGCTTTTTTTTTTGGCAGCACAACATTCTTATTTAAAGAGAAAAAAAATCGAAATAAATTACGCAAGAATCCAACGGTTCCAAAGAAATGCGAGCTAGTTGAAGAAGCCTGTCTAACTAGATAAACCATTAATTTATTGTAAAATAAGTGTTTCCGCCATTTAGATGATGAAGTTTTTGCAAATCGAGAGCATTAAACATATGACCTTTTTTTCGTCAAATGTGATCATTTTATGATTTTATAATTGTATCTATAAGAAATAATGTCTTCATCATAATAAATAAACAAACATGTTATACGTATACGTATCAAAGTTTTGCAAATTCTGGCCTATACTTGTTGCATCTTACATTCATTTTTCTTCATATGTTGTCTTGATATTCGAAATCCGTTAACATGTTAGTATCTCATTTTCCTTTCTTCTACTAAGGCTGCTCTGAATGGGATTGCAGGTGGGTAATAAGTCGGATTGTGTTAGCTTCCATCTTCGTACTTCAGATGCAATTAACATAGCTGTCAGATGCAAGGTATAGTTATGTTACAATACCTATATTTAGGGTCGTTTCATGAATTTTTCTTTAACCGAATGCAAATATGTATTGACTTTGGAAAACTGGTGTCAATGCTCACTCTTTAGGTACCTATCCAAGTCAACAAGTATCTAACTTATAATGATGGATGAGAGCCATCGGGTCTGGAAATATCAAAACAAACACCTGGTTCAGATGGTTTATTATTTACTGAACTAGACCAGTAATTCTAAGCCACTGATCAGTCATTTAAGACCCTTTGCTTGAGAATTTGACAACTAACAAACGTTTGTTTGAATTGTCTAGGCCAAATGCTCAGCCTTGTCTTGATACAAAAGAGTTTGATCTGTTGAGCAACATAATGCAAGCTGTTGATGAAGCCGGTAAGCTTACTCTCATTCTTCCCATTTCAAGATCTTTATTCTTTTGAGATACATAATTTTGAAAGCTTATATTCCTGTTTAAACCTTTTTGAAATCAATTGATCAAATAAAATCATTAGTGAATCTTGATCCTGCCATGAGTTAATTTTAGAGAAAGCTGGAGTTTTTTCTCCCTGAGGTTTTAGACTTCCCATAAGATGGTAATTTTTGCCTTGCATTACCAACATTTTTGGCCCGCGACCTTTCTGAATAGACCTATCAATCTTTCCACCAAGAGAAATAAAAGAAAACACCATGTTAGTTGCCCTTGCATTCTTTTGAAAATATTTACTCAGTTTATCATTGTCTCTAAATAACTTTTTCAGTAGGTCAGATGGCTCTTTTAGAAATGGCAATTTGACTTGTTCTTGCAAACAACATAGAGTGAATGTAGGATTTCATATAAATAGCCCCATAATATCGACACTCATAAGTAGGATCACCTTCATCAATGTAAACTAACAGAGAAAAATAAGAGGTTTATTAGTACAATTCAACAATAAATTACTTATGGCCTCTTAATTTAATTTGAAATAAAGAACTTACCAATATTATTAATGCTTGGAACTTTGGGGTATCGACTCATATTACGGAAAAAAATGTTTTATAAGGGAAGCAACTTCTTTAACTTTCTCATTTTGTTCGTTGGTATATGACACCTCTTCTCTGATGATATCTGGTATAGTTGGTTCCGCCTCGAAACTATCATCACTGCTACAATTAAATTCGTGTTCATCTTGTTCTTCATCTAATAATAGAGATAATGGTGAAACTTCAATGTTTAAATATATGAATTGAAGTTTAACAGATATATATGTAGTGAAGTCGAAAAAATTAGTTAATACCTCCTGACTCAAACTCATATAGTCCGGTAAAACATTCCTCATCCGATTCAAGTTCTTCCTGGTTTTCTTTATCAAAGTCAACAACGGTTGATCTATTCACTCTGGCTAATGATGATGAACTTGATGCAATATTTGAGAAGTCAGTATTGGTGAAATTATTTTCTGCACTGAAATCTCCAACACCACTTATTTGCGTTGCAGTTAGTCCACTAATATTATCATCGATTGCTAATAAAAGATCAAAAATATGTTAGTATGATAAATCATTGAGCTAATATATTTCATTACAAACATACAGTGAATAGGACTTACACAAATTCAACTCATCGACTCGTTTTTTCTTTAGGAACTGAGTTTCAGTAATATTGTAAGAGACATTACCTAAACATATGAAAAAGGTACGTTGGTGATATCATGTAGTACTCTACCAAAAACTCTAGTAACAGGAATTGAATTGTTTTCTGTTAGCTCTGATGATTGGGAGGGAAGACCATCTTCCCGAGTATTTTCACTCATAGACTCTTTAGATTGGGAAAAACTTAACTTAGGAAAAGACCCCTAATAGTTTAAAGTTTGGTTTATAATAGTTATCTGGTAGAAAATTTCTGAAATCTAATTTTACAAACTATTATAAAATAAAAGTATTACCGAGATTTGCTACGATTAGAATATAGCATTTGCTAATTAGCATTGAAACTAATATACTAAACAGAGTACTAATAAACTCTATTAATAAACATCTATAGAAAGTAACTACTCAACATTGGATACTGAAATATTTAATTGTGTTATTCAAATCATAAATCATAGATATATTTTCCAAAAAGAAATAATATATGATACGTGGAGTGATTTACGAAATGTTAAAGGATCGATAAAAAATTTCTAGTATCTGAAAATGAATTCATATCCGTAATTCAAATCAACATCTCGAGAGCCAAGATAAGTGTAATTGTACTATAAAATTTATATATTGGATTTGGTAATGCCATAAATTGTGATTGTACAAAATGATGATAAAGAGAAACTAAGTTAGTCGAGGTAATATCAACTACATTCATTGACCACTTTACAGTTTCTCCCAAATAATAACTGTTAAAATGTTCATATGACAAGTTCATATAGGTCCAAAATCTGGCGTTTCTGGGAGGTTTGTCTCCATATCTCTAAGCACACAGCTGATGGAGATGTATCTAAAGGTTAGTAAGTATGTATCTACGACAGAGGCATTTATTATATCACTATAACAAAATTATTTGAAGATAACAAACTATAAAACTGAATAACTCAAAAGATAACTTTATTAAGACTAAATGAGGTCATTATAGTCGAAAAGAAAACAAAAGCATGTAACAAAAACAAAGAAAGACGATCCAACAAAGAAATAAATCTGAAGAGTACATAAAACAACTAATCAAAAATTCAACGATACTTCAACAATCCATTCTTTCAACAAACTCCAGCTTCTCCACATTTATTCCCGATATATCCTTCTTAACTATTTTGTCTCCTTCAAGCTTAAAATTTTTAAGACACGGCTTCTTAGATGTAGAACTCAAGTCAGGTAGTTCACCAATACTTTCGGACGATCGCTTAGAAGAAGGAGTAGAGTTGACATTTGATTGAGTTTCAGAATCAACGACAGAAATCTGAGACAGAAAATAAAAACATATATCAATACAAAACACAAATACTATATTATAATAACAAATAAATTCAATGATGGGCATTTACTTCATCACCTGACACAACAGTATTATTGTTACTACCAGGATCAGTGATTTCTTCTTCTTTTATCAAACCCTGACCGTTGGAAACCTTTGAACACTTGTAATATTCTAAACCACCATAAATATTTTCCCTCTCAATACAAACTTCAAATAACAAAGACCTCCCAACAATACTGGTAATTTCAACAGGTAAATCAGATGGATCTTCCATCTGGAAATAGAACACGGAATGAAATTATATATATAATAATAGTATCAATAATCTTAAAATTAACGGAATAATGTATAAAATACTTAAAACTAATAAATGAAAAAAATAAAAAACCTCTTCAAATGAACCATTTAGGAGTTTAGTAGCTGAATGACCAACAATTTCCATAGCAACAGTGTCCAGAAGCATAAACTTTGCTATCCCAGTATCATCCATCACAATGAGATGCAGTTTAAACCTAAATGAAATAAGATATAATTACCGCGGGTCCCAAAAAATTTAAGATTGACTAAACATTACGTATGTTATTAAAATCATCAATGCTACATATACTACCTTCCCAAACATGATGTTTTCTCTTTGGATAGATCATATTTGTTGAAACTTTAGTCAGAAACTTTGATTTGATGAACATTTAAAGTATGATTTACATGTACCAAAGTAATACAAATACCTCGCTTGCACATTTGAAGTGTACTCCTTGCACTTAGAATAGTAGAATGTAGGTCTAGACATAACTTTTTTCGAGTTAGATTGATGTGTAAGCGCTTTTTCAACCTTCTTTTGACATTTCCCACATCCAAAATAGTACCAAGCCCAATCAATATCATTACCGGAAATGGTACACAACACTTTGCAATGCTCAATCTGAAACGAAAATTTTAAAAGTCAAAAATCATTGATATCAACTATATAACATGAACAACAAAACTAACATACCTGGAATAATTATATTAGTTTAAGTGTATCAATAGATTATAAATAGTCAAACCTCATGAGATTCAACTATATCCTTGATTGATCGTTGAGGAAGGAAAGCCCAGTTATCCTCCTTTTTTTTTAGAAAACTTCTCTCCTCACTTGGTTCAAGTATAGTCAACGCAAGTCCATCCTGTGGTAACCATCATAATCAAAATAATCACGAAAATCAAACAAAAATAATCAAAAATAATATAAACATTGTTCAATATCCATAAACAAATACAATACTCACTTTTCCTTAAACTCATCAACTTCACGCAACAGTGGATTTAAAAGCAAGAGAGATGTATCGAAAGCGTTCGTGATCTGAAGATCTCCTATAGAGTTTGCAAAGTAAAGGTAAACAATTACGATTAAATGTAACAATAGTATCTTTATATATTTAACAAAGTTGAGTATATATCTAACATCTGAAGAAATTAATTTTTGCAAACCTAAGTACGCAAACAACATTTCCATATAAGGATTCATCGCAAGCTGATCTCACTTGTTCAGTATATCTTCCCCAAAGACAATATTTCAATCTTTCGTCCTTGTATATAATAAGAGAAAAATATAAAATTTCTTATCAAACATAAAATACTTATCCGATAGATCGTAAATAAATAGATAAAGACTATACCAAGTATCTCTTAAGTGAAACTCAATTTTCTTTCTATCTTTGCCATTGACTTGGACAGTTTCAATCTCACCAATATCAACGACTTGGCCAATGACATCTGAAATCGTAAAAAAAAACCATTGTTGACAGTCTCCACGTTATATTTGTAAAAACTTTAAATTTTGAAATAAGCAAATACCAATCAAGAAATGAGTTAACAGACTCCCTCTTAGTATCTGCTCAAACATGGTGAAAAAGAAAAAATTATCAGTTATCTTCAACTTTGATTTAGTGACAGATGTTCCACTGACGAATGACATCTTGTAAACATGGTCTGTAGGTCTGTACTGTCCAGAAGCAGGAGTTAAAGAGAAGTTCTCGATAACTCTCCACTCTCCAACAGGAAGCTCCTTCTGAAGCCATGCGCAGTAAGTTTGTTTACACAACGCATGGATTTTAACACCCTACAGTAAAAGATATAGTTAGAAGATTTCATATAAAATACATAATAAATATATAAGAATATAACTTGTGTTAGAACGTACTGATTCGTCTGCTAATATCATCTCCAGTGATTCACCTGAGGAACAGAGTATTGCTTCCACGAATGCAACACTTTAACCTGCACACGCCAACCTGACTTGAAAGGTTTGAGATCCTTAAGGTACGTGATCATGTTTGAAATGCCCATTGATGTCGTAACCTTTTTTCTCCTCTTTGTGTGTTCTTTATATGCTATTCAACGAACCTGTAGTGAATATGATCTATATATATTAGATGAAATTAGGGCTGCAAGTAATGTGATTTCTCA